AATTCGATGGACTTTATTTTGAGTTTCTCTAAACCACACGGTTTATATACCGAAGTTTAAATACAGCCTCGAGTATACATAGACTCTTAAGTTTTGCTGATGGTTCCAAGGCCTATTAACTTCTCATTCGTCATCATGGTTGACTATAACTAGAATTTTCTCTTTGTCAGTATAAAAGGGATTTGATTGACGGCACTCGTTGGATTGATCAACGCGAAAGTCTAAAGAACTCAGTGAAGATTTAAGGAGAACTGTAGCTTTACACATGTTGGCAGGTCTTTTGGAGCCATTTCTAAGCAACCATAGAGACCAAGATCATCAGTTCAAACAAATGTTAATGAGTAAAAGAAAGATGTGTCACCACTTTGGTCTGGAAGAAGACCCAAATTGTCATATTTGGATGAAAGGAAACTGGTTAAGAAACCACCAAGGCTCAACCCTGCCATGAACTGGAAACTGCTGGAACACCAGCGTCACTGTCCACAGTGAAGCCAATTTTACATCCCTATGGATGTAAATTTCACCTCAAATCAACAGCTAGATGTTTGAAGCTTGAACAAAACTGGGTGCTCCAACAGGACAATGATCCCATATACACATAAAAATGGTTTTGGAAAGGATAACTCAGGCTAACATTAAGCTTCTGCAATGGCCTTCCCATTCCTTGACCTCAACCCCATTGAAAATCTGTGGATTAGGCTTAAAAGCCAGGTTTATGCCAGGAAGCCAGCCAGTTTCAATGAACTCTACCTATTCTGCCAAGAAGAGAGGTCAGATATGCAGCCAGATTCATGCCAGAAACGTATTGACTGAACGTGTATGGTCAAGGTGCAACTTGCTACTGGAAATTTCAATTCAAATTCAATCTTATGCACCCAATTTTTGATGTTTTAAGTCAATAAAGACGTTTGCTGTATAATCATTCTACCCTTGGAAAAAGAACATTCCAAAGAAAAAGAAATTATTAAAGAAAACATTAAAAGGTCAAAATTACCAAGAAGTTCATGTCCATAATGAACCTAACCGTAACTAACATATCTAACCATAGCTGTACATGCATACTTCTGTAATGACAAATTTACTTGTGGATACAACTAAAAAACGCCCAATAATTTGCATTATTGTCTTTTATTTCCTGGTTCAGAACAACACAAGAAGCTCTAGTGGGAAGGACAAAACGGAAAAGCAGACGGGAACTCACCTCTCCAAAAAGGAAGATGAAGAAAAGAGAGGTAATCCTTAATTCACACATTAAATAAAAGTGAATGTTGTTGTGTCAGTTTTGTTTATTCAGAAAAGTATGTGTGCATATCAGCTATGTCATTTGATTCTAACTGGGAAAATGTCCATGTTTTTGGCAGCTCAGCGATTAAGAGGATTAGCTCATGATGTTCATCAAGCAGCATCAAAAGAGTGAGTTTACACTTTTTTTGGCACACAAAGCGGAACATTAATCTAATTCCGGGGTGGGGGAACTCCAGGCCTCAAGGACCGGTTTCCTGCAGGTTTAAGGTATGTCCTTGATCCAACACAGCTGATTTAAATGGCTAAATTACCTCCTCAACATGTCATGAAGTTCTCCAGAGGCCTGGTAATGAACTAATGATTCAGGTGTGTTGACCCAGGTGATATCTAAAACCTGGTGGACACCGGCCCTTGAGGCCTGGAATTCCCCATCCCGGATCTAATTTAACAGGCAGCTACTAATGCCACATTTCTTCTCAAGAAGACTTAATGATACATCTGCACACAGTGGTGCAAAATAGAACGGAATAATATCCCTGAGTAAAATAAATCTATAAAGTAAAGTCCCCTTTATAAATACATTCTAAAACAGCACAGGATGTTTGTTTCACCCGTATGTGATATAATTCAGGTATCTCTCATGTGATGGTTGTATTTGCAGAAACCAGGAGGAGAAAATGAAGAGAGCGTCGGCTCCTGAGAAGCTAACATTCAAGGAGCGCCAGCGTCTTTTTTCCTTGGCGTCCAGTTCATAAACAGAAAGCTCAGAAGACAAAAATGTTTAAATTAAAAAAAATTATTTCCTAGCATCATGACAGCATCTATTAATCAAATGTCCCAAGGGCAAAAAATGGATAATTTTAACACAATATTGTTCAGCACTGTTGTTCCTTCTTGTATTTTCTTAATAGGTAATAAAATGTTCATTTAGGAGTAGTTAAGGCACTTCTTACATCATTTTCTTATTAACAGTAACTATTTGCTGCTTCTTTTAGTGGAAGCAGTTAATCAATGTTACTTAATGCGCTGATAAAACTGCACCACTGCCTTCTCTTGTTCGTGAGTTTCAATTGAACCTTGCCGCAGTCTACGGATCTCGTTGATCGCGTCAATCCCAGAAATCTTCCTGGTCTTCACCAGGTAGCAGGCCAGCATTGTCCCTGTTCTCCCATGACCATGCATGCAGTGAACTGCCACACCCTGTAGAAAACAATGCAATCATTATTTGAGTCAGTTATCTATAAAGTATCCCTGAATATTTTGGGGGTTATGGAGTATTT